CCTTGTTCCCCCCCTCCCCCCCCCCGTCCCCCCCGCCCCCCCCGTCTCCACCGCCTCCCCCGTCTCCCCCGCCTCCCCTCCTGGCTCCAGCACTAATTTTACCCTCTCGTCTGCTCACTTATATTTCTTTGCCATTTATCTTCCTCACCAGCTCTTCTCGGCCAACTTGCGATCCTCTATATCTTTTTCCAGTTATCTCCTCCCCTGTCCTTTCTCTTCTTTCTCTGACCCCTTGCGTCCCCCTCACCTCCGCGTCCCCCCCTCCCTCCATCTTCTCCTTCTGCTACATTCTCACTCTTCTTTCAGCGTTCCATCTATCTACGGTGGCCAAAGTCCCCAGCACAACGGTTCTATTCTGCTGCCTACTAATAGAATCTCTCAGTTCCTGTAATGAATCTGTCAGAATCTCCCTGAGCACAAGAGAGCCGATAGATTGATAGGGAGGAGGAAGGCGATAGAGAAGGAGTGGGACAAAGAAACGCAGAGAGACTGGGGGGAAATGACAAGACGGAGGGACAAGTGGAGAGAAGAATAGGAGAAGGGGTTAAAGAAAAAAGAAAAAGAGAGAAGAAAGAGAGAAGCCACCGCGGCTGCTGACACTTTCAGAGGTGCGTCACAAAGGTCTCAGAGCAGCGGCGTCTCAGACAGAACCGACCATATGCTCCGAAAGCACCGGTGGCACTTCAGGGACTCTGACAGTCACCGCGGGAGCGCGACAATTTCACCGAGGCCGGGTCAAAGCAGTAGAAAGAGTTCTTTCGAAGTTTTGTCTGCAGTGTTCTCTCCAAGGCTGTCTCAGGTTTTTTTTTTTTTTTTTTTTTTACAACATCAGAACTCAGTGTTTGGACTCACCGTTGTCCGTGGCCATGAAGACGGCGGTGTATTTGTTGTCGTGGACATACGGAGACTCTCGGTCCAGGGAGGCCGACGTGTTGACAGTTCCTCGGACCGGGTTCACACTCAGCCAGCCTGCTGGGTCTCTCAGAACAGCATACCTGGGAAAAGTGTAGAGAAAAATATATACGTGAACGGAGAAATGTTGACACGTAATTACTGAGACATTAAATCTGCAGATGGCCACGCCGGGAACGCCGCCTCCGAGGAGGAGGAAGTGTGTCGTGTTGTGCCGTGATGCCTAGGACTATATTAGATGGAACTGCATTTTAATTTAGTTTGAAGACATGGATTTGTTTACATTTAAATATTATTCATTTCCAGCCAGAGAGTTGTTTCAGCTTCTTCCTCTTGTGCTGTGAATATATAAAAAGAAAAGAACATGGAAGCTGAAGTGAAACATAAGGCAATAAATAGCCAAAGGTTAGCCAAACACTAGCAAAAAAAAAAAAAAGAACATTAACAGCTTAAAGTAAGTTCAAGAGAGAAAAAAATAGATACAAATGTTGAAAATTTAATTACAAATAACAATAATAAAAAAATAAATGTTGAAAATTTAATTACAAATAACTATAAAAATATATATCCAGTCCATAAATATTAATTTGAGTCTAGAAATAGAAATGCAACAAAAACGAAGCCATAAATAACAAGAAACTAATAAGATGTTTTAGCGCAGAAATAGCCAAAAGGCTAATTGGAAATATGTAGCACAATAGCTACATGTTTAAATTACCAGAGTCAAACCAGCAACTTCTAAATATTAACAGAAGAGGTCGGAAAATAATTCCAAACTTTTGCTTGTGCTGATGTGACATCATCAGTGACACGACAGTAGATTTTACGCAGTCAGAGTGACAGATGGGTTTAAAGACAATGAGGGTCTTCATATACAGTAGGTGGCGCTGATCCTGCTCTTGTTGATGCAAATGTGACATGAGACAAAAGAGATCCAGAAATAAACTATATGATCAGAACGTCAAAAAAAAAAAAAAAAAAAAAGTTAACGTTTAAAATTTCACTTAGTTAAGGTACAAGAAAAAAAATCACTCCTTCATGAAACTAAAACCCAGGGCAGTACTGCAGTATTTTCTCACTGCTGGAGTACTGTGTTATTTCTCTGTTTTCCTCAGAGGTAAATGTTGCGGCCGTCCTTCCTGCCTTTCTCCTACAGGGGGACAGTCCATTCAGAACTCGAAAGACGAAATTACAGCGACATTAAAAAACCATTAAGGACATTCATATCTGGTTTTCCAGAACAAACAAATCAGTCACACAGCGTGGCACGAGGCGACTGACCAAACATACACTTAACTTAGCTGCGACAACACACAGCACACCAACAAAAAAAAACCAAAAACACTCCTCAGTCAAAAAACAACAAAAAAAAAAAACACTCCTCAGCCTAATGCATACCTGTCAGCAGTGAAACTGATTGGTCCAGACTTCCGTGAGTCGGAGAACTGTACAGGAAGTTAGCCATTTTATTACTATTCTTTGGCACGGCGGCGCTCGGCCCTGCCAGGTTATCCTCTGAGCTGTTAAAGCTGGCGTCAGAGGCCAGTGGAGAGNTCTAGGAGAACAGCTAGCTTCTAGCCCCGCTCAGTACGTCCAGTATAAAGGAATACTGAGCTACAGTATACATCTGTGAGTAGTAAACTGCACCGTGAACGAGTTTTTATATATATGATATTTTATATATTTAGCTCTGTCTTTGCAACACACATAAGCTGCCACAAGAGGTGCCATTGAGTATGCGGCTCCTCAGAGACTCGAACCCAGGACCCTCTGCGTCTGAGGACTTTACGGCTGTCAATATAAAATCAAAATGATATCAACCAGTCAGAGCAGAGACCAACGGTGCAGCAACAACGGACACTCGGTCAGTCTCGACTGCTGCCACCTAGCTGTCAGTTGGTAGATGGCTGCTAGGTCTGATTGTCCTTGGACCTAAAACGTGAGTCGGTGATGTCAAGTACTAATGAAGTACAGGAACTAACAGGAACCTGGAACATACTGTATTTGCAGTACAGAACAGAGTTGCTGTAAAAATGTATTTTTGACAAATATATACTGTATATTTCACATATCGCGTTTGTAATTTAAGCTTAAATCCGTGTTTCTCTCTGTTCTCTGGTAAATCAGAGAGACTCTGCTGAGGAGCGTGGGGGGGGGGGGGCATGAGGCCTGCCACCCACCTGTAATCCAGTTCCATCAACAACAAAATGCTGGTACACACTGTGTGTGTGTGTGTGTGTGTGTGTGTGTGTGTGTGTGTGTGCGGCAGCAGGAGTGGGCGGGACACAGAGAGAGCAGAAAAAGATGGTTTTCAATAAGAGCTGAATTAGAGCGAGAGATTAAAGCGAAGTAAAGGACGGATCGCCGAGTGAACGCTGATTATGGCTCTTGTTTATTTTCACTTACGCCACACATTCAGCTGGCACCTCCGCTGATGACGGCCATGATTATGTAGCTCTGTCTGTGTGTGTGTGTGTGTGTGTGTGTGTCTGCTGACTCGAAGAGCGTGGCGTTCCAAACGCTGGACCGCTAAATCCATGTTGAAAAATGGGCCCAGAATTTAGACGGCGCTCGAACAAAGGACTCTGGAGTCGGTGTCAGGTTTCTGAGGCCGAGGATCCTTTTTGTTGGAGCTCAGATGATTTATGGTTTTGTTGTGTAATGAAGTGAGTGGCAATATTTCTTCATTTGAAAACGTCGACGGAAATTAATTACACTTCAAAAAAAAGAATTTTTATAAGACAACTCTTTCACGAAGAGACATCTCAGCGTCTGCTGCTACAACAATTTCTTAGAAGTTCATCAAAAAAATGTCATAAAATTAGCATTAGCTTAGCATCGAGTTCTCCTGGGGTGAGCTAGAGATGAAGATGATAAAAAAAAAAGTCTCTGGAGACAAACACAGAGGGTGAACCCTGGTCCAAACCAGGGGTGTCAAACTGGCGTACCACTGGTGGTACACATACCACAGATTGAGAACCACTGGTCTAAAGCATCATTTCGATTATTAAAAAGAAGAAAGTCGTGAAGTTCCAGAACAAGGTCAAGGTTTGTGAATATTTTTTCCAAATTGACTTTCACACTAACACGCGGCGTCACTCGCGGTCACGCACCGACGGTTCGCAGCTCCCTGCTCTGACACCAGGAGCTACGGATCACTTTAGAGTCCAAATGGAACTCCCGGAGCAGACGCTGGATTCATCCGTCTCCTCCTTAAGGCCCGGCCTGTGTGGGTTTTCAGGAACGTGATAGATATTCATGCCCTGCTCCTCTCTCTCTCTCTCTCTCTCTCTCTCTCTCTCTCTCTTTCTCATCGTGCATCATTAAGTCTCACAGAAAACAATCCTGGAGAACTGGTTCAGGTCACGCACGCACTCAGCTGACGAGGTAAATTGCTTTCAAGTAGTGAGGTAGTGGTTCTCAACCTGAGGGTCTGGACTCAGCCTCAGTTGAGACACTTGATGAATTTCAATGTTTGTTGAAAACACAGTGCTGAGTCTGAACAGTGACACAGAGGGAGTTGGTTCTGAGGCTGATTTTTTATTATTTTTTGATTCATCGTTGCATCATTTAATATGTATTGAACTAGTGGCTGAACGGAGGAATTACACTCTGCTGTCGTTCAGGGACGTCTGCTTTAAAACGCTCGATAAAATCTATTTCTTTTACAGCCATAACAAAAGTTGAGCATTATTTATATTTTTGAGCTACGTCATTCGTCGCCACTTTTTAGGTTGGGCTCAAACAAAGGGTAAAATTTGGTAAATTCCCCTGGTTGGGACTTTTATTGCTCTAAAATTTGGTAAATTCCCCAGGCTGGGGCTTTTATTGCTCTTTTTTTTAAAAAACTGTTAGTGAATTAAAGACTAGAAAATACATCATATAATGTAGCATCACAGTTTAAAAAGGCAGAAAATAAGGAAGGTGAGTAAAGACAAAAGTTTACTGAATTTTTGGGTGTACCAAGTTATCGATTAGCAGTACGTAAGCTAGCCAAATGACATTAGCCAATTGTTTGACGTAGCAAATGCAAAAAACATTGGCTAAAAATTAAAGTAAAAAAACAAATCCTTCACTCCAACGTTGGCTATCAGTTAGCCACGACTGCAGTAAAAGTGCTTTCCAAAAAATGATTAGTAAAAATGAACAACAACTTTAAACCAGAAAGTTGGCCAGAGCCAGATTAAAAATAAAATAGCCAAAAGATTCCTAGACATTGGCCAAAAGTTAAAATGATCAGCATCAAAATAACAAAAACTGCCCAAATTATATATAAATAAAGAAACTCTCCTTAAGTTAATGAAAATTCAGAGCAGATGAAGCAAAACAAAACAAAATGAGACAAAATTGAAGTGAAAATAATCCAAAAATGTCCCTGAAGGACGATGTAAACAGCCTCTGATAAAAACTGCCCCATGGCTGGACTCAGATACCCACAGCTCCATCTTCTGTGTTGCTGAAGCCTTGTATTATTGTGATTTCTTTTTTTTTTTTTCCACTTCACTAATCAAACACAGCCTTGACCCCTGTGACCTTCACCTGCGCTCCTCTCTGCCTATCAGGGCCCGGCAGCCGTGACCTCCTTTTTCCCAGGGATCGGGAGTCATTTAATGTTTCATAATAGAGCGATGCGTTTGAAGATGAAAAGACGCAGCACTAAGAAGATTATGTGAATATGTAATGAGACAAAGATCAGTGTCAAACAACACCAGCACGTGTTATTCTGCTCGGTTCCTGCGGTGCATCAGCGGAGAGGGATTCAGACTCTCAGAGGTCACCGCGGAGTGGAAAATGGTTTCAGGTGTTCCAGGGTAGCCAGATAAACTCGGCAAAAAGTTCTAAGAGAATAACAAAGCTCTTCCTCTACATATCTGACATTTAGAATTTTGGATGGTGGTGTCTTTGGCGCCACCTGCTTTTTTAAGACCTGCTTTGGTCTTAGAAAATCAAAGTTTTCAGTGGATTTTTTACTGTTTCCCATTCATGTTTGGTTCAATTTTTTTGTTACTACTACTATCCACAGAAGCCAATCAGAGCTCTGTTTGTTGGTTAAAAGGCGGGACTACGGACTGTAGGAATAATA